TCGTTTTTTTTTTTTTTTTTCGAAAAAAAATCATCTTATTCTGCAATTTCCTATTTTTTCGTCTTGCTGATGATTGCGACGTTTGCCCTTCGTCCCTCACCAGCTAGGGTTTTGGGCATGTCACGATTTCAAAGGTGCATTGTCGAGTGTCAGCATATTCTAAGCCACAAGTCGTTTAAATGCTGGTTGTGTTGACTGGCATCACGCCGCCTTGGGCTAAATATATGTGCTCCCGACACTTTATTTAACCTTTCTGCAGATTGTATACCTTATAAAGAGTATATGGATTGCAGTTGCTGACTCTGCAGTGTTTTATCACTTTGCGTTTCGTGTGTCTTCGGGCGACGTGCGCGGCATTTGCATGTGTTTCTGGTTTGCCAAGATTTTGCGAGGTATGCATTCTGTCCCGCGCTGGCCGGTGATTTGATCATGTCACGAGTTTGACAGTCGAATGAAGTAATAGATAATTCTCAAAGACGCCCCAGTTCATCTGCTCAGTCTGTTGATGTTGGTATCACGAGTGCGTGTGCTGGATAATGTTACATGCATGATCTACCATGGATGTAACCATGGCACCCCTTTCCCCCTCATCCTTCCCGCCCACCCCAAGCGCCACGGGCGCTTAGCTCGTCAAATGATAAAAACTAGCGTTTTGCCCTGGGCAGCAATAGCAATCATCAGCAATTCCACCATCTACACGATACCAAGACAAGACTCCCAAATATACGTGGGACAATGCAGGAACTACTCACAACCTAAGCCCAAGCCCAACCCAGAACAAAATCTTATCGCGCTGCGGCATGCTGCGGCAAGCATCATCTCCAGAAGCCAGCAAGGACCAAGTATTGCGCACCAAGACAAATCTAAAACCGCAAAAGCAACCCCTAAGCCCTGCTAAAATAATATGGTTTCACTTTGATGTTGGTGCAGTCCGTGGGCCCTGCAGCTGCGAAAACGCCACGGTGCTAGTTCGGTCGCCGATCCGCGCCAGCAGGCCCTCAGGGGCTAGAGGGTTTGCAAGGGATGGACTCCATTGTGAGGATTACACAAGCTTTGGAACTTGAGGCTTGGGTTAGGGGCGTGATTGTGTCAAGACAACAGTCCTTACGGTGCGGCAGGCTGGCACGCAGACATCATGCCCCCCCTTTCAATGACAAAGCTGCGTAAGATTGAGTCCGTGGAGGAAAAATTTGTAGGTCCTTCCGCACAATTGACCTGGCTCTCATTGCAGTATGCCTGTTCTGGTCAAGGTGACCCATTACAAACTGTACGTTTGTCTCAACATCTGGGCTCCCCTACGTATACAGATTTCCTGCAGGCACTAAAGAACCCGACAAAGGAGCAAAAAGTGCCAGAAAGTCAGCCGGGCAGGCTATCATTTCGGGGTGCAGAAGAACACAAGCCGCTGTTAAACCTTCACAAGCACAGGAGGGAGTTGGTAACCCAAATGCTTTGAAAAAAGTGGAGCCTGTGCAGCCCCCCCACCCTCACAATCCTGCACCCGAGTCTTCTGGGTTTTACTTTTTCTGGACCCCTGTAAGAGTCACCAATGCCCTCCTTCCCTGCGAAGCATCAGGGAGACTGGCAACTCCCAGCCTTCACGTGCAGCTTTAGCGGTGCCTGAGCTAGCTGTAGCCTTTTTTGTTTCGGGATTCTGGATCTACATCAGACGGTACGTTTTCAGGTTAAAGGTTTAGGATGTTCATGGTTTTGGGAGCTTAAGGTGTAGATTGTAGGCCTGAGAAGGCAAGGCCTCCTACAACTGGATGGAGAACCATCGTAGCTTCTGATCATGCTCCATACTATATCCACATTTTGTGTTAAATCAGGGGTAGGAGGATTCTTGCTCCGACTTCAGGGCGAGCCAAGTTTAAATCCTGCATGGCCTTCAGTGGAATTTGACCCGAAGTAATTTACACCCTAGGAATAGTGGAATTTCACACGTCCATTCAGGTAATGGAGGATTGTCTTGCAATCTGCAACAAACAGAAACCGCAAACGTCCTGCCAGCTGAGTGTGGAGAGGCCACAGAGCAACCAAAGTTGCGTTGTCAGAATCCCGTGCCGTTTTGGGGGGCGCTCGTCTTCGCATCAGTTCATTCTGGAGGCGAGATGTGTAGGAAGGCTCACGAGAAAAGAACTGCGTCCTGCCTGTCCCCTCTAAGAGCTCGTCAAAAAAATGGCCCTAAGGGAGATCGTACCCATAAAGAGAGCTTGCCTCCTGGCCATTTTGAGGACAGGTATTTTGAACAATTATACACTAGGTGATATCGGGGAGGCGTCTCGCAGTCCAATCTGTACCGCAGTCCACTGGTGCAGCCAATCGACTCCAGTTGTGTCCTTGGCAAAGCATTGGCGTGTTATGCTGCTACCTACATAATCCCTGCCTAATATCCCCTCAACCCACCATAACGTAAAGTCTGACAAAGTACCGATATTGTGAGCTGAGTATTTCTCTTACGGGGCTTATCACTGCGGCGAGGGATTAATCAATTATTAGTCCCCTTCACCTTGGACCTGCGCCCCAGAAAAGGATGTAACTGGTTGCATGTCTGCCCCATTTTGATAGGCTGCATTGCTGCTCGCCACACCCCTAGTTCCTATACCTGGCTGCATTTCTGCGCCATTTTGATGGACTGCATTGCCTCGCCCCCACCCAAGCCCGGCTTCATGGGCTGCGTTGCTGCGATGCTATTTGTGGCTGCATCTCTGCGTTCAGGGCGTTTACTGGGAACCCATTCTTCCGACCTGACCATCGTCTCGAGCCCTCGCCTCGAACTCTCTCCACTCCAAGGCTTGGCTGTGCAGCCCCCCGAGAGCACCCACCAAAAAAATGGACCAATCCTAAGCCCATGGGACAATTAGCAAGATATACGGGAACAGTACCCCTCCAACAATCATCCTCCTAACGACTGCAAGGCAAACCTCATGCCTGAGATGCCTCGAGATGCTTTAGGCGGCCTGCAGAACGCAAGGCTC